ATTTATTTTAAGAGTGTGCCAAGCAACAGTAATAGTGAAGCAGTGTGACTCTGTATTAATTGCTTAGCAATCAATTGTTTGTAATGTAATACTTATCATATTTTTTAAAATTATTATTATTTATAAATATTACAAGTCATTACTAGTTATGAAGCTGTGCAGTACACCACATGTCACGAATTTACCCTCTCTGCAAGTGCTGTGTGTCCCAGCATGAAAGGTTTTGCTCTTCTGACTTCGCTCCATGTGCATTTGTTCTGATGTGCTGATTACCCTAATGTGTTCACCTGTTCCGTGTTTCACCTTGATTTCTGCTCCACATTGAGAAGTCTTATAATGTTTTTTTTTTGTGATTCGTGTGAATTTAGTCCCAATCCAATCCCGATCCATTTAATTCAACCCCGATTTTACGTGCTGCCTGTTTGGAAAGACAGGCATCATTTCAGCATTGGATTTCACACAATCGATAGCCCGTGTATGAAGTAACGGCCATTTGAAAGTGATTTATGGCTACAGCGAAGAGGAACGATTGCGCTGGCCGCATCTTCAGCATATCCCAGGGCTCTAATCCGGCTTGCTGTTAATGAGAGAGATTTGTGTGAACATCGATGGCCGTACATATGATTTACACAGCTGTGGGGGAAGCTTCCTGCGAGAGACACGCTACCTATTGATCCCCTCCCCTTCAGCGGGGACATGATATACCAACCAGATGTTGTTGTGAAAGGGGGCTTTATCCGTTTGCCTGACTCTGGACCGGATAACACGGGTAATATATATCAAAGGCTTAATTAAAGGGATGGGCCTGGTGTTGTATTATTTACACGCGTATCGAGAGGAGGACGGACAAGGGAGATGAACGAAGGGGCTGTTTGTGGGTTAAAAGGAAAATGGCCCAGGGTAAATAAATCGCATCTACACTCTGACGGGTATTTGACATACTGACCAAGCCTTTCATTACATTCCAGTGCTTATAGCGGCTTTTATTAGGAGCCTTCACGTTTACATTTGCTTACCTGAGGCAGGTGCTGTCTGTCAGAGGTTTCTGAATGGCCATTTGCCGTTCAGTCTTCAGGGACTCTGTGAGAGCCACTGCCTCCTCCAGCTCCCTCTCCAAATCTGTGCACGGGTGCAATATTGAAACACTTTTCAGTCAGCACTTTAAATAGTAATGGAGTGTTTTAAGCAGTATCCTGTTTCCTCCTTCACCTGCTAGATGCGAGCGCAGCCCCTGGAGCTCTGCTGCTAAAGATTCGCGCTCTGTCTGCAAAGAGATCAGCCGAGTGTTTTCTTGCTTCATCCTCTCCGTCTCTAAGAATATGAGGACTTGTACAATTAGGCTTTTTACAGTCAATACTGTGAGGGTAATAAAAGAAAGGTGTCAAATTATCCAGGCCAAACGAAGAAGTTATGCTGATAAGGATAAAGCTATCAACAACTAACCACAGTCATGTGACCTCTATATTCCATGAAGGACTCTTTTCAGACACTCAGTTTTTCTCTGTAATATATATATATATATATATATATATATACACCAAAATAAGCATATATTTTTAAATGCCTTTTGTGTTCATTCAAGCTTTTTTAATTATTATATATGCACCATGTTTTCTGCGAGGTGCAGGTGAAAATGTGTCATCTCCCAAAAACACTGTTATGTAAGGAATAAAACCCTTGGGGATGTGCTGTTATAAGAAAATAATCAACTTCAGTAAGGTTTAATAAAGCAGAGTTATAGTTCCCAGCCCAAAATTGATTATTTTCCTATAGCAGCACTTCCCAAAGTGCTTTCTTCGTCTTATACCGCAGCCATTTTCCAATGATTACGATGTCTTATTTATGTAAGAATTGTCCGAAGCTCTTGAGACCCCTTCCACAAATACTGTTCTAGAAAATTAATCAACACCTTCTGACTAATCAGAATCGAGAATTCGACAGTGCTGTGATATACCTATAATATGTCAATGACTATCTCGCTTCTTAATATGTCTGTTCTGTAGGAGGTCACATGACCAGGTGCTGTGTACTGAGCTTGAGCAGACAGTTCAACACGAGTTCAGACGTCGCATCTGCAATCCTGGAACTGCCCGTTTAACTCCCGTGCACTAAAACGAGTGCAACTAACACAAGCCGAGTCGTAAGCTCCATAAGGGAGCGCTTCAATCTACCTTTGGTTAGTGCCTCAGCTTCCGACTGGAGACTCTGGATTTCAGATCTGGTCTGACTCTGGAACACAGTGTCCCTCTTTCTCAGCAGGTTAAAATCGCTGTTGAAGGTTCTGATCGCTTTCATGAACTTCTCTTTCTCTTCTGCTGCCTCTCTGTTTATTCGCTCCTGCAGGTTTAGCAATAGAGACAACCGTATAAATAGAAAAGCAGGCAAACAAGCGTCATTTTCGCTTACTTATTGTCATTTATTATTTATTGACCCCCTAAAAACTAACAAATATTTTATATTAACATTTGGGCAAAGAAATCTGAAAAAAAAAAAAATGGTCCAATTTTGACCTCTAGTGGTTCAGGTCTGATATAACAATTCATGATTTATGGAAGAATTCTTATTAAAAAAAAAAAAAAACTAGGACTCAATACTACACAATAATAATAATAACGTATTTTTTAAAGCACCTTTCATAAATTATTTCATACATAATTCTAAAAATAATAACAAAACCATAAAAAAGTAATTCATATAAAACAGGATTACAAAATAAATATTTAGAAAATTTAAATATCTAAACATAAAAATGAATTATTTAGAATATGAAAATATTTAAATATTTAAAAAAAAAGATAAATACTATCATATTTAATAGTAAATAAAATGGAATATAAGCAAATAACTGCTCATAAAATGACGCATTTGAATGGTTTTATTGATTTCTGATCAAATAAAGGCTCAATAACTATGTTTCAGCTGCAGGATCGAGCATCACTGCTGTCAAATTTGTGTGTGTGTGTGTGTGTGTGTGTGTGTGTGTGTGTTTATGTGACCCCTCTAATTTATTACAATCTTTTGGGCCCTATAATAGTGAAGATTTAAACATTGTGTGTAATGTTTATGGTGCAGAGATAACACTGAGATTACTGGAAAGCAGACACGTTCTGCTTTAACATTTTCCCGGTAATAAGACAAGCCGCATTTTTTTTGTCTTATTAACTTCAGAAAAAAAAAGAGAGAGGCGAGTGAGGGAACGTCTGCCTGTAGCTGCTCTAACATAAGCGCGAACGGGAACTAAATTGTCTCCTGGGCGTTCCGCAACATCAAATGTAACTAAAAATGGATAGAAAGCACAACACTGTTCGTTAGTAAATTGAAAAAAAATAAATAAATTCAATCATTAGCGAAAGGTTGTGGAATAAGAGGAATAAAACACTTCCGGATGTGTTGTTCCAGTAACTCTGCTTCATGTCTGCCTCCATCACACAGCCTCACTGGTGATTATTTTCCCGTAAGTGTTTTATTCCTGACAGTTGTGACTGACTGAGAACCGAATAAATACACAGAATTAAAACAGCCTTTGCAGACATCTTAGAATTTACTACAACATCTTACACAGTGCGACTTCCAAGCATGCAAAAACATTTAACTGAGAAATCATTTAGACTCCATCATAAATTCTCACCACCATTAAAACGTCCATTTAAGAACATGGCTCATTTGGGATCTTCATTATCTTACCTCTGCCTGAGTTTGTTTTCCCAACTGCCTGCTTTTCAGCTTCCCTTCCTGTTTCGCCATTTCATACTGGCAACAAATTGCTGAAATTGAAACAGCTACTGTAATAACTCTGTACGCACCGTCTCCTGTCTGAGCCCATTCTGTTGCTCGAGCAAGTCCTCTTTCTTCTTCTCTACTTCTTGCTGTTGTCTCTTGATCAGATTCAGCTGCAGCGTAATTTCCGACTCGAGCCGGGCCTGTGAACAGAGTCTCTACATCACATAGCTACAATACGGTTTTAAATCTACAGCCAAAACACCGCGATGACACGTGACATTTCACGCGGTTAACATGCCTCGCCTGAATGTTTCAATACAGTGGGAACGAATACACTTTGAAAATAACAGTGGAATGTATCTGATGCCCTCGCACACCTTTTCCACTGAAACAACGAAGCTCACGTCCAAATATCAGTGTTATGTATAATTAGCAAAGTCAGAAAGACATTATCTTACACTTTGCATCACACGCTCGATTTTTAACCACAAACCTGTCCACTTGGATAAACGTAGCTTGCGGTGTTTCACTGACTAAGCACTCTTTCAGGGAAAAGACAGGCATAAATAAAGAGTTTTCTCATATTACGCTCTAGACAGCCAGTGAAGGAGATGTACATTACTGAACGTTCTCAGCTTCAAGTCTAATCTTAACGCAGATTAACGTTATTTTCCGATCGAACGCTACCGTTACGCTACCGTCTGTATGCCTTAGCGACCTCATTTATTAAAAGTGTGCAGGGAGCCAGTACTCAGCTCCTGAACTCAGGTCCTTGGCAAACTGAAGTGTTAAAAATGACTGATGTTTGTAAATCCAACTTAAAGATACTTTGAAAAAGGATGGCACATTTGGGGTTTTAAAATAGGTGCTGCAGTAGTAAGTAAGCCGTTTATCACACAAGTGCTCAGAACTGTACAAAATGGACGTCGAAAAATCCCACACATTCAGATTTGCTCTACTTGTGCATGGCAATGCTCATTTGCATAAAGAAACACCCACAGATTGCCATATATGGTAAAAACTTCCCTTTCTCTCCAGCAGCCTGCTTACTGTACTGCTTGTTGGTGTGTGTGCCGTGCAGCACGGCAAAAGCTCTAAGAAGATGAACTCCACCATCAATAAAGAAGAAGCCTTGATTTGTCACCGATACATTACAGCACGGTGAAATTCCTTTCTTTGTGTATCTCAGCTTGTTAGGAAGCTGGGGTCCGAGCACAGGGTCAGCACCGCTGGAGCAGAGAGAGTTAAGGGCCTTCCTCAAGGGCCCAACAGTGGCAGCTTGGCAGTACTGAGGCTTGAACTGCTGACCTTCCGCTCAATAACCGAGAACCTTAACCGCTGAGCCATCACCGCCCAATTAAAAACCCTCGTGCAGAACAGATCCGTCACGGCTACAAGAGCACAACCAGGGCTCTACGAAGGGTTAACCAAACGAACGTAATCCAGCGGAAACAAGCGATTGATTTTGCACCGCCGCATCCTATCGATCCTCTTCATCTTTAATGAAGCCCTCCGAATAGATGAAGAGTTTCAGTCATAAAACAAATCACCTCTTTTACGAGGATAATGTCCACGCAAGTGAGATGAAAACTGGAGCCGTGCTGGAGCCTGCCGTTCCTTTGCACTTTTCTGGGATGTTTTTAAATAACGTTTACAAACTTAACCTGCAGGTGACTTGATGGGCAGGTTGCTGTACTGATTCCAATCGTCACAATTGCAAAACACTAACGTTTTTACAGATTTTTTTCCTCCTCCAGTGTTCATTTATTTTTGGAGACGTTAAATCGTCAGTGAACTCATTTTGTTCCGTTCTGACAGTTTGGTAGCAAACCTACTGTATATATATATATATCTCGTGTATCATAGAAACGTCTCGGGTATGTTAGTGATATAGTGATGTCACTACTCATTAGTCCGTGATATCAGATTATACAGCAACACTACTTTAACAGTTTTAACACTTCATGATCTTACTTTCTTACTCTCAGCACAAACTGACACTGAATATAATTTCTGTATAATAAATAGGATAATATATATATATATATATATATATATATATATATATATATATATATCTTTAGGTGCTGAATATTGGGTCTGAAATCAAATGAAATTATAAGAATAATTTTCCAATCCAATCAGGTATTAAGGATAATGCCGATGTTATGCAAAACGATACAGATCCTGCATATAGTAACAGGACCTTTAAGTATGACTGTGCTTTTTTTTTTTTTTTTTTTTTTTTTTTTTTTTTTGGAAGCTTGCCGAAAGTGTTTTGATATCACTGATATTTGATATTGATGCATCCTGAGTGCTTACTACTAATGCCCATGTCTTCTAAAGCAGCAGTGTCACAACGGTCCTCGGATTGCACTTACTGCCGAACAAATGACTGCATTCCACACAGAAATCATGAGGGGAATTACTGGAACTGTACCATCGAACTGAACAGACAGATGAAGTGAGCTGACCTTCTCATCCAGCTCAGTACGCGCATGCTCCAGCCTTTCAGTAAACGACTTGATCTTCTCCTCAGCCTTGGCGATGGCTGATTTTACTGAAAGAGAGGACGAGTGAAGTTCAGTGTGGTAAAACTGTGTATAAAAACTGTCAGCATGGTCCAAAAAAAAAAATATATAAAAATATGTATAAACCGCATTCGGTCTAATGAGCAAAAAAAAAAGTGACATGACAGGTAGATATGACAATTTTAGTCACTTTTTTTTTTTCGTGTTAGACTAAATTGCCTCCGAAACATCATCTCTTAAAATTATCTCAAAAATCCAACCCAATTTATGCAACAGTTTTTTGTCTAATTGACAAAACGCATCATCTAATGCGCTGTCTGAAACGCAGCAACTGAACTAATGAAGTTTTAAGCTCCGCCCACTTCAAAATCACCTCATATCACACATTTCTCACAAATAAAATGCCTTTTCCTCAAAAATCAGGGTGGTGGTTGTTGTTTTTTTTGCTCTATTGAGACATCAATCTATTTACATCTTCATTCCAATCCCTAGTTAGAAGGATATTATGGACGAATTTCCCAAAATGTTGATTATTGTTGGATTCATGTTAGATTTTATACAGAAAATGTTTTTTTTTTTTTTATAACTGCCCATGCTATTTTCTTGATTAAACTATAAAGAAACGATATTCAAACCAAATTCTCTGTAAAGGTCTCTCTCTTGAGAGTGTTTCTGCAGTGAAATATTTTAATAATACTTAAAGACTGTATTTTTGTTTGCTTGTTTTATTATGCGTGAAAATCCATGCATATTTAATCATATTTAATAACTATGAAATATCATTTAATAACCAATCCTCATTTAAATAAATAAATAAATAAATGTACTTTTTAAAAAAATATTTCCAATGCACAAAAACCTCAGCAATCTATTGGCACGTATTAATTGTGGTATCTTGCCTTAACTGCTGTAATATCGCGAGATTTGACTGACGAACGCTTTTAGCGAGATTTCTGCCTAGCTAGTTAGTTAGCTAACATACAGTACCTTCATGGAGTTGCCGAGTGTTCTCGGACACTTGTTGCTCAGTGAGCAAAATCTGCTTATACAAAGAATCCAGACTCATATCATGAACCTCTGAACTCATTTTTTTTTAATTATTATTTTAAAAATTCGGCTAAACGACTTGATTAGAAAAGGAGGATCTTAGAGCGCGAGGGCTTCTCATAAATTGCACGCGCAGACACGCCCACCTTTTACGTGCACCACGCGAGGACCTTTCACTGGGAATTAACGGTTCTTTTCAGGGAATCAGATGAGTCGACTCACCAATCATTCGACTCACAAACGACTCGACTCCCTCGCACTTTTTTTTTTTCTAAACAAAAACCGTCGAAAACGGATCTTCAGAAGTGTGAATCGGCTCACCTAAAAGAGCCAGTTCAAAGAGTCAAATCTCGAACGACACATCACTATGTGACAGTTGCTTTATTGAAAACCAAAGTGCTGAAGTGAAGAAACTGACAAATAAATAAATCAAACGGACAAAACGTACTAGGAATTGATGAGTTGGACTATTAAACCACCAATATTGCATGTTCTTATTTTTTTTTTTGTTTGTTTGTTTTTGTTTTTCTCATTTTCAACTTATAAAATTATTACATAAGGACAAAGAGGAAGTCTACATCTGTTTTTTACAGAACAGTTTGTCTTTCTAAATCTATTTATTTTTCCTGATAAAACATAAAAGATTTCCATTATGTTGTCTATACTAGCACTTGAGCTGCAGAAATTATTAGTGTGCGTTGGCTCACAGTGTGTTCCTGAACCATATTCTAATATACTCTGAAATAAACAGATCATCAGTGCCAAATCTAATCCACATCCTCACTTTCTCACTCCTTCCAGTTCCAGGATTGCCTGTAATTTATCACAGATGTGCTCCAAAGACCATTAAGTGCCACCAGCTTATGTGTTGTTTCACATTAATAAGCACAGTCAGCATTCAATAACTTTAATCCCGGGCCATTTGGCTCTTCAGTGTTTGTCACATCATCCTTTACTTCCTCCAATTTCCACAGAAAGCCACGAGGCACATTAAAGTGTGAACGCTCACTCGTGACCGAGGCTCCATCAATATCGACTCTGGCTTTTCATATGATTCAGACTGATACCTTTTAGCCATTCTACTTCACTTCCAAGACCTGCTTACTCATCGTGACTGTACAATTAAAATAGGATTTTCCTGACACCGGATCATGCACACACACTCGTAAATCACCATCAGAATTGTCACTAAGCTCAATAGCAAAGGATACAAATCAGTCTGGTCATTAGAGCAGTAAATTTCCTGAGCACTGCTTGCCGAAAGTCCATAAGTAAACACACACTCGCCACTTAAAGTTCATTAGGATAGGAGAGAACCACTTTGATTTATATGTGTAGTTGTGCTCGACGGTACTTCACTGCAGATCTACGATCAATTGACTCAGTGATTTGAAAAATATTATACCATCCAGTCAGCTAAAATGCATCTAGAACAATCAATAGCATGTAAATTATACTCACTATGTTAAAGTCCAATATGTTACATCTGCAAATATGTATTTAACAGAGGAAAGTAATGTTACAATTATAATAAAAGCATAATTCACACTTGGTATGAAGAAAAGTAAGTAATCAAACACTTGGAGGTATGCTGTAATAGAAAAATATCCAACGAAGGAATGATATGATGAAGCAGAGTTTTAGTGCCGAGAGTTTTATTCCTATTAATTAAAGAACGACACACCCCACTCTGATCCATTTAAAATTACATTTAATGTTGTGGAACATCTGTGAAACAAGTTCGTTCCTGTTATCACTTACACTACAGCGGTTATAACAGTTGTTCTGAGGCTACATCCACCTCAGGATTTGATATGTTGTGCATTCTGAGATGCTTTTCTGCTCAACGCGGTTGTAAAGAGTGGTTATTTGAGGTGTAATAGTACTCACATTAGTTCAAACCAATCTGGCTAATTCTTCTCAGATCTCTCGTGTCAACAAGACGTTCCGCTCTGCCACTCACTGGATGTGTTTGGTTGTTGTTCTTGTTGTTGTTTTCCCCACGATTCTGTGCAAACTCTAGAGACTGTTGTGTGTGAAAATCCCAGGAGATCAGCAGTTTCTGAAATACTCAAACCAGACCATCTGGCACCAACAATTACGTGACTGAGATCACATTTTCCCCCATTCTGATGTTAGATGTGAACATTAACTGAAGCTTTTGACCTATATCTGCATGAATTTATACACTGCACTGCAGCCACATCATTGGCTGACCGGATAAATGCACGATTGAGTGTGTGTATGTGTGTGTGTGTATGTATATATACATATATATATATATATATATATATATATATATATATACATGTACGTATATATGTATGTATATAAGGCTTCCCACTACCTATATATGTAAACTATAGGGTATGGAATAATATACAGTGCACTATACTGTACATGCATTAGAATAGTAAGCCACATTTGTGATTCAGCCTCTCACTCTAAATTATTTCTCTGGCTGAGTCCCAAATGGCTCCTTATTCCCTCCGAAAAGTGTTTGTGTAGGGCACTTTATTTTCAGCAGGGCACCATTTGACATCCAGCCAGAGTGAGCGAGACGCCTACACCAATAGATGGCAATCTCCACCAGTTTAATCCTATAACTCATGAGTGGACTAAAGCTCACATCACTCACTTTTTGCTGATGAAAAGTGAGTCAGCCAAAACACCCACATGTAGGAAGCTAAATAAATTATAAGAAAAGGCATATATTGCATTTTACATACATTCTGTATGTACTGCTTATACTCCGGTTATAAAAAAAAAAGGGTCA